GCTTTTATTTCCATTATCTCTAGGAGCTAGTTCAAAAAATATTGCTGAAATTTATGTTCTTTTTTTAAATGTTTCCTTCCACTGCCTTTATTGTCACTATTTTTTTCTTTCAATTTTATTCAGATATAATTGACATACAGCACTGTATAAGTTTAGGTGTCCAGAATAATGATCTGACTTACATACATTGTGAAATGATGACCACAGTAAGTTTAGTGAACATCCATCATCGCATATAGATACAACATTAAAGAAATAAAAAAAGAATTTTTTCCTTAGGATTTACTCTCTTAACAACTTTCATACGTAACATACAGCAGTTTTAGTTATATTTATTGTGTTGTACATTACACCCCTAGTACTTACTTAGCCTATAACTAGAAGTTTGTACGTTTTGACTGCCTTCATCCAATTCCCTCTCTCCCCACCCCCGCCTCTGGTAACCACAAATCTGGTCTCTTTTTCTGTGAGTTTCTTTGTTTTTGAAGTATAATTGACCAATAATGGCATGTTAGTTCCTGTTACACAATGCCTTGATTCTATACATTTATACATATTTCTATACATTTCAAAATAATCACTATGCTATGTCACTACACAAAGATATTACATAGTTATTGACAGTCTTCCTCACACTGAACATTTCATTTATTTGATTCATTTATTTATTTTGTAGATGGAAGTTTGTACCTCTTAATTTTCCTCACCCGTTTCTTGCCTCCCCCAGCCCTCTTCCCCACTGGCAACCACCTGTTTGTTCTCTGTATCTATAACTGTTTCTATTTTGTTATATTTGTTCATTTGTTTTGTTTTTCAGATTCCACATATAAGTGATATCATATTGATATTTGTCTTTCTCTGACTTACTTCACTCAATATGATAATCTTTAGGTCCATCCATGTTGCTGCAAATGGCATTGTTTCATTTTTTATGGCTGAGTAGTATTCCATTGTATTTTTATATCACATTTTCTTTATCCAGTCATCTATTGATGGACACGTAGATTGCTTCCAGATCTTCGCTATTGTAAGTAATGCTGCAATGAATATAGGGTGCATAAATTTTTTCCAAGTACTGTTTTTTTAGAGCCATGAAGTTAGGAGTTTATTATTGAAGATCAATTGGAAATTCATATAAAGTATCTTTTTTAAAAAATAGTTTATTGAGGTGAAATTCACAGACCATAAAACCAACCATTTTAAAGTGAACAATTCAATGGTTTTTAGTCCATTCACAATGCTGTGCAACCACCACTTCACCTAGTTCTTAAACATTTCCATCATTCCAAAGTAAAACTTCTCCCATAAAGCATCTTTTAACTTGTAGGAAGAACAAAGCCCCATAACCACAACTTAATTGGGAAGGAATTGCCTTTTGATGGTAAATCCCAAGGAATTTTAAAGTGCATTTTAGAATATTTGAAAGAACACCAAGAGGCAGTTCACAGAAAAAGGCCAATAAACCACTGAGCAGATGCTCACCAGTACATCAAAGATGCAAATGAAAACAAGACCTCATTTTTCACAAATCAGATTAGTGAAGATAAAAATGATCGATAGTGCCGGGTGTTGGCGAGGCTGTGAGGGACCCCGCACTCTCACCGCTTGCTGGCCGGCGGGGGTAAATCGGGACAACCTTTTGGAAGAGCGATTTGTTACCCTCTCCTTAAATTACAGCCTATCTTCTGACTTCTAGGAATGTAGGCCACAGAAGTGCTCACACAGGATGCCAAGACATAAGTAAAAGGATGTCTTGTTTGAAAATATTTTTCAAAATGGAAACAGTCCAAATGTCCATTAATAGGGGATTAGTTAAATGATGGTTTGTCGGTGCACTGAAACATGATCCTGCTTTTAGAAAAGGAAAAAAAAATTAAGAGAGATGACAGCTCTCTGCTTACTAACATGGAAATATCTCCAAGGCATAATATGAGATGAAGCAAATTGCCAAATAAGCATGAATATATGTTCATATAAGATTATATTTGTATAACTTACATATTTCCATCTAAAAGTATAATTGTATGGGCTAGAATATATATAAAAGAAATTCTCGAGTCATATACACCAAACTATTAGCCATGATAATCTTGGGATAAAGCGTTTTGGGTAGATTTTCTATTTGATGTCTAAATATTTGAAAAATTTCTCAATGAATACGTAAAATGTTTTCAGTCAGAAGAAGATATTAATTTTATGAAATTGTTGGAAAATTTGACAATAACAGGCAGCAGTTACATAGCTCCTCTCCTGCCATGTGCCAGGAACTGTTCTGCGTGCTCTACGAATATTAACTTATTTACTACTCACCACACTCTTGTGGGGTAAAATGCTGTCATTATCCCTATTTTTACCAATAAGGAACCTGAGGCTCAGAGAGGTTGAGTAGCTTGACCTTTTTTTAATGTTTATTTATAATTTAAATTAAAATGTAATTCACATATAAAATTTACCATTTTCAATGAGTTTTTTTTTACTATATTCACAAAGTTATGCAACTATCAGCACTATTTAATTCAAGAATATTTTCTTTACCCACCAAAAGAAACCCCATACCCACTAGCAGTCACCCCCCTCCCATTCCCTTCCTTTCCTTCCCGACCCCCTGCTGCTCCACCCCCTGGCAACTGCCAATCTACTTTCTGTCTCTATGGATCTGTCTGTTCTGGGCATTTCACATAAATGGAATCATATACTGTGTGACTTTTGGTGTCTGGCTTCTTTCACTCAGCATCATGTTTTCAAGACCTATGTATGTTGTAACCTGTGTCAGTGCTTCATTCCTTTTCATGGCTAAATAATACTCCATCATATGGATGAACCACATTTTGTCTGTCCATCCATCAGTGGTTGGACAATTGGGTTGTCTCTGCTTTTTGGCTGTTATGAACATTAGTGTATAGGTTTCTGTGTAGAGATATGCTGCATTTCTCTTGGATATTGACCTAAGAGTGGAATTGCTAGATCATGCGGGAGCTACATTTAACCATTTGAGGGACTTCCGGACAGTTTTCCAAAGCTGCTGTGGCATTTTACATTCTAGCCAGCCATGTATGAAGGTTCCAGTTTCTTCAAAACTTGCCCCTAATTTTTAAGAGCTGGGATTCAAATCAGAGTTGGTGCTCTTAAGCACCCTCTTCCCCGCCTCTACCCACTCGATGACACTTGGGGAGGATCCTTAAACATTTCGACTTGAATGATTAGATAAGGGTGACTTCTGACTGGGTGATGCATTGTCCGCCAATTGGTCATTTTAGCGTTCTCTGTGCGTGTAAGCCTGATCATGTGTCATCTGGCCTGACATCC